GGCACTAACTTTATTCCAATACCCAATTTCTTCATAGCAAATTAATTTTTAAATAGATTTTTAATGTAATTTCATTTAATTTGACCTCCTCATCCCCTTCCTAAGTGATTTTGTTAAGTTTTTTAGGTTGTATTTTATAGTTTCTAACAATTTGGCACTAACTTTATTTCAATACCCAATTGTCTTCATAGGCAAATTAATTTTTAAATAGATTTTGTTAATTTTTTAAGGTTGTATTTTATAGTTTCTAACAATTTGGCACTAACTTTATTTCAATACCCAATTGTCTTTATTGGCAAATTAATTTTTAAATAGATTTTTAATGGAATTTTATTTAATTTGACCCCCTCATCCCCTTCCTAAGTAATTTTGTTAAATTTTTTATGTTGTATTTTATTGTTTCTAACAATTTGGCACTAACTTTATTTCAATACCCAATTGTCTTTATTGGCAAATTAATTTTTAAATAGATTTTTAATGGAATTTTATTTAATTTGACCCCCTCATCCCCTTCCTAAGTAATTTTGTTAAATTTTTTAGGTTGTATTTTATAGTTTCTAACAATTTGGCACTAACTTTATTTCAATACCCAATTGTCTTCATAGGCAAATTAATTTTTAAATAGATTTTTAATAGAATTTCAATTAATTTGACCTCCTCATCCCCTTCCTAAGTAATTTCAATACCCAATTGTCTTCATAGGCAAATTAATTTTTAAATAGATTTTTAATGGAATTTTATTTAATTTGACCCCCTCATCCCCTTCCTAAGTAATTTTGTTAAATTTTATAGGTTGTATTTTGTTTCTAACAATTTGGCACTAACTTTATTTCAATACCCAATTGTCTTTATTGGCAAATTAATTTTTAAATAGATTTTTAATGGGATTTTATTTAATTTGACCCCCTCATCCCCTTCCTAAGTAATTTCAATACCCAATTGTCTTCATAGGCAAATTAATTTTTAAATATTTTTAATGGAATTTTATTTAATTTGGCCCCCTTATCACCTTCCTAAGTGATTTTTTTAATTTTTTTAGGTTGTATTTTATAGTTTTTAACAATTTGTCACTATTTTTATTTTAATATTCTGTTATCTTTATATATAGAAAAATTGATTTTTTAATTAATTTTTTATTGGATTTTTATTTCAGTTTACCCCTTAATCCTTTCTCTAAAAACTTTTTATTTGTTTCTTAAAAATTTAGTAGTAATTTTATTTCAATACACCATTAACTTCACAGAAAAATACATTTCGACGCCACTGGTAACTCAGGTGTTTCCGGTAAACGGGCTGCTGGAAAGTGGCTGCTAACTTCACACCAGTCTATATTTTGACATTGTAAATTAAAACTCTTCATTAGATCCATTAACAGCTTTTTTTCATGACTCATTTAAAAAAAATATATTAAAATCTCCACATACCATTACAGTATCATAAGAATTGTATAGAACAGTTAAAATATCACACATTTTATGTAAAAATAATTCAGTGAAACTGTCAAGGGGATCTATAAATACAGATTGTACAATATTTAGGGTAAATGTAATTCCACAACATTCACTTTTAATAAAAATTAAATAACTTTGTTGGTACCAATCGACATAATTTAAGAAATCTTCTAGTTTAGAATTAAGAAGAGATATCGATAAGAATATATTTGTATGAGTACATTGTTTTAATTTATAATTAATACTCCTAATGCTAGGATACCTATGTTTGAGAATGTAGTTTTTCCCCCCATAATAATTACATAATCATTCAAGGTAAATGTTCTTGTGAGATTTGCAATGTCTTCTATTACTTTATCAAAGTTGTGTCCCTGGTTTTAGAATAATCCCGACTGATGTATTATCTTGTACATCTTATTGTCTTTGAGAATCTACTCTTATCTTACGCACAAATAGTTAACT